TGCAGCGCCGGGACAGCCGACAGAGCGCCCTGCAGCGCCCGGACAGCCGATCGAGCGCCCTGCAGTGCCGGGACAGCCGACAGAGCGCCCTGCAGTGCCCGGACAGCCGACAGAGCGCCCTGCAGTGCCCGGACAGCCGACAGAGCGCCCTGCAGTGCCGGGACAGCCGACAGAGCGCCCTGCAGCGCCCGGACAGCCGACAGAGCGCCCTGCAGCGCCCGGACAGCCGACAGAGCGCCCTGCAGTGCCGCCGGGACAGCCGACAGAGCGCCCTGCAGTGCTCGGACAGCCGACCGAGCGCCCTGCAGTGCCGTCCCCACCTGGGTGAGGGAGGCTCCTGCAGCCTCCTTACGAGTCCGGTTTACTCCTCATGCAGACATGGACCTGAGGAAGCTCAGTTCAGGAGGTAAGCCAGGGTACCTAGGGTCTCCGAGGCCCGAGTGAGAGATGGATGCACGTTCTGTTTTGTATCGTTTCTTATTGTGCTGGGGGGGTCAGGGCCTGTGCATGTCAGCTACAGACCCAGTCACATGATGAGCTTTCCTTTATATGAAATCTAGCCAGGATTGGCACTTCCGAAAGCAGTTATGTTTATGGAATATATGTCAGTGTGATTATTTATTTATTTATTTATAAGGGTGTTTTTTGTTTTGTTTTGTTTTTTGTTTTTGTTTTTCCGAGACAGGGTTTCTCTGAGTAGCTTTGCGCCTTTCCTGGATCTCGCTCTGTAGACCAGGCTGGCCTCGAACTCACAGAGATCCACCTGGCTCTGCCTCCCTAGTGCTGGGATTAAAGGCGTGCACCACCACCACCACCCAGCTATTTTTAAGATTTATTTACTTATTATATATATACACACGGTATTCTCTCTTCACACCAGAAGAGGGCACCAGATCTCATTAGGTGGTTGTGAACCACCATGTGGCTGCTGGGAATTGAACTCAGGACCTCTGGAAGAGCAGTCAGTGCTCTTAACCTCTGAGCCATCTCTCCAGCCGTTATTTATTTTTATATTCATTGATGTTTTGCCTGCATGTATGTCTGTGTGAGGGTGTTGGATCTGCTGGAACTGGAGTTAAAGACAGTTGTAAGCAACCATGTAGGTGCTGGGAATAAGCCTGGCTCCTCTGGAAGAACAGTCATGCTCTTAACCACTGAGCCATCTCTTCAGCACCCCCCTTTTAATTTATATATGCATATGTGTGTGTGTGTGTGTGTGTGTGTGTGTGTGTGTGTGTGTGTGTATTTTCCCTTTTTCAAGACAAGGTTTCTGTTCTGAAAATCACTCTGTAGACCAGGCTGGCCTTGAACTCACAGAGATCCAACTGCCTCTCTCTCCTGAGTGTTGTGAGTGCTGGGATTAAAGGTGTGCACCACTGCTGCCCAGCTTTTTAAATAGTTTTTTAAAATTTACTTATTTTATGTATATGGTGCTTTATCTGCATATACACCTGCATGCCAGAAGAGGGCATCAGGTCCCATTGTAAATGGCTGTGAGCCACCATGAAGCTGCTGGGAATTGAACTCAAGACCTCCGGAAGAGCTACTAATGCTCTTAGCCCCTGAGCCATCTCTTCAGCCCCATGACTGGATTTCTAAAGAGCAGGATTATGAACTGGATGCACGATCACAGGGCACTTTCTGTTTGACAACTGTGTGGTTGGTGGTTAGTCCAGGTGCTCAGAAGGCATCTGAGAGTGACTGCTGCCTCAGGAGATGCCCATGACTTGCAGCCTTCATCTTTCATTTACTTAATATTTATTTGATTGTAATCATGTGTATGCATGTGTGTCTGTCTTGGGGGTATGTGTTCATGTAGGTGCTGGTGGAGACCAGGGCAGGGCTCTGGATCTCCTGGAGCTGGGGTTACAGGCATTTGTGAGCTGCCCGACGTGGGGAGTAAAAAAAGGAATTCAACTCCTTTGTATGAGCAGCGGGTGCTCTAACCACTGAGCCCTCTCCCTGCTCTGCTTGCCTTTCTCTGTTCTCTTTTCCGACAGCATTCAGAAAATGGTGGATTGTGCTCGCTTATACTTGGGTACACCCAATTTCTTTCTTGCTTTTCTGTCTGGCCAAAGAGGTATCTGTTTTCTTCTGTCAGGGGACCCCAGGATCTCACAGGGAGAGAAGACCCTCCTGCCATAGTGCTTCCCCCCACAGGGCATGCACTTCCTGCCAAAAGAAGGCCACAGGGCTCTGTTTGGGAGCCCATTTAACGCATGGTTCTTAGCATGTGTTGTTTGATTTTCCCAGTTCATAGCAGATGGAGAATGAAGGGAGCTGGTGGCTGTTAAGAGGTGGGAATGAGGATGCTAGCAAGAAGTAGCTGGTTTCCAAGGAGATGACAGATCTGCACAGGGTTGAGAGCTGTTCTTGTGTTACTTTTCAGTGAACAGCCAGCATGGCCGTAGGGTGAGGTAAGTGCATTTGTTTACTGTGCAGCTGCTCACTGAGCCTCTCCAGCACTGTTCCTGCCTGTGTGAGAAACATCAGTGAGGAAAGGGGGTCAGGAAAGCCCTGCCTCCACAGTTTGCATTCTAATGGGCGGAGAGACGTAAGCTCGAGGCATAGGAAGTCAGCACACTGCTGTGCGAAACACACAGAAACACACACTGTTAGAAGGTAATGGTGGCCCAGGACGTAACGGAGAAGGGCAGCGTTAGAGGGTTGCATTTGGAAGTAGATGGCCAGAGGAGGCCTCACTGAGGAGACACACGAGAGCAGATACCAAGGAGATGAAGGAGTGAGTCAGTTTGACCAGGGAAAGGAAGCCAGCCTCTGGAGAGCCAGTGCATAGCCCGAGAGGAAGGGGTGTGGCTGCTGAGAGGTCATGTAGCACAGTGAACTGAGGAGGGTCCCAGAGGCTACAGTAAGGGCATGAGGCCGCATGGGGTTTTATATGCCACTTAAAAACCTTGGAGCAGGGTGGTGGTGGTGCATGCCTTTAATCTCAGCACATGGGAGGTAGAGGCAGATGGATCTCTCTGAATTCAAGGCCAGCCTGGTCAACAGAGTGAGTTCCAGGATAGCCAGGGCTGTTACACAGAGAAGCCCTGTCTCAAAACAAACAAACAAACAAACAAACACCCAAACAACAACAACAAAAACCATTTGGCCAGGCATGGTGGCACACATCTTTCATCCTAGCACTCAGGAGACAGAGGCAGGTAGATCTCTGTGAATTCGAGGCCAGCCTGATCTACATAGTGAGTTCCAAGCAAGCCAGGGCTACACAGAGAGATCCTGTCTCAAAAAACCAAAAAAAAGCTCCCAAACATAATTTATTTGTTTGTTGTTTGTTTATCTACCTATCTATTTATTTATATGTGTGTGTATATGTGTGTGTTGCACCTGTGCACACCATAATGCCTATGTGGAATTGCAGGAATCAGTTCTTTTTTTCCACCACTATGTATTGAACTCAGGTTGTCAGGCTTGGCAGCAAACACCTTTACTCACTGTCATTCTCACCAGTTCCTTAAAATACACATACTCACACATATATGATTTCCTTACTTTACTTTATGCGTGTGATTGTTTTGCCTGCATGGGTGTGTGTGCACCATGTGTGTACTTGGTGCTCAAGGAGGTCAGAAGAGGGTGTTGGATCCCCTGGAGCTTAGGATGGTTGTCAGCTGCCATATGGGTGCTGGGAACTGAATCTGAGTTCTCTGCAAAAACAAGTGCTCTTAACTGCTAAGCCATCTCTTCAGCTGCCCATATATACTTTATTTTTGTTGAAGAATGAATACACATGGGAGGTTTTGTCACTTGAAAGGGTGACCATCTGTTTACCTGAAATACATGACTGGGCCTCTCTGAGGATGCTGAGCTTCTTAATGGTCTTTTGAAGTTTTGTCCTGGACTCTCCATCTGTTAGGAATGTGGCATTGCTTCTAGCAGTGGGGTTTGGATGCCTGGTTTTCTGCCTTTCCTTTTTCCCTCTTTCCCTCTGCACTAAATGGCCTGCGGGTTACTATGTAGATCAGGTTGACTTTAAACTCACAGAGATCTTGCCTCCCTGTAGTTGGACATTTCTCTCCCGACCGCCAGTTTCCAAATAATCACTCAGAGGCTTACTAATTACAAATGCGTGGTTGATAGCTCAGGCTTGTTACTCGCTAACTTACATTTAACCATTTCTTTTCTTTTTTTTTTCAAGACAGGGTTTCTCTGTGTAGCTTTGTGCCTTTCCTGGAACTCGCTTTGTAGACCAGGCTAGCCTCAAACTCACAGAGATCCACCTGCCTCTGCCTCCTGAGTGCTGGGATTAAGTGCGCCACCACTGCCTGGCACATTTAACCTTTTCTATTAATCTGTGTATTACCACGTGGCTCATGGCTTTACCTGCTCTTTAGCATGTCTTGCTTCCTGGGTGGCTGGCTGGCGTCTTTCCCTGAATCCACCCTTTCTATCATTCTCGGTTTGGCTTTCCTGCTTAACTGCCTGCCTGGCTACCGGGCTGTCAGCTTTTTATTAACCAATGAGAGTAATACATATTCACACTGTATGGAAGGATTATTCCATAGTACCTGCTCCTGCCTCTCAAGTGCTGGAATTAACGATGTCTGGGGTGGAGGGTGGGCAGCCTTGAGAATACTGAGAATGCCACTTGTTTCTTTGACAGTGTCCCTTTCATTAGATTGAACATAGAAAGAGTGGTATTTGTGGACAGCAATGAAAGCTTGCCTCTCCTGTTTTGGAGATTCATGGAAAATGCACCACGAGTATTTTGTTCAGTAGAAGAGAATTTTTGGAGGCGCAAGTCTCTGACATGAATAGGTTTCCAGACCCTGTTCCTTTCACGTGACCTGCTGAGCTGCCACATCTCATGCTGAAACTCACTGTCTCCAAGTTTGACCTGCGTGATTGTAAGTGCAAGCTTGTGTCTTTCTCGTTGCAGATGCCGGTCGGATGCCCTTTAAATACTTCCAGTCCACAGAGGAAGCCAGGTGTGCCATTGAGGCTGTGCTGTCCGCAGACCCTCGGTCTGTGTACCGACGGAAGCTCTGTCAGGACCGCCTTTTCTTCTTCACTGTCGACACGGCGCACGTCACGTGCTGGTTTGGCGATGGCTTTGCTGAGGTTCTGCGGGTTAAACTGGCTTCTGAGCCTGTTGAGATGACTGACCCTGAGGAGTCCTTGGTGGCTCTGGGGTCTTGAGTCCCATGGTGTTTTTAGACAGCCCAGTTGACCTCTGGATGTACCTGCTCTTGTTGTTTTACTGCTTTGGTTGGTACCTTTTAAAATATTGATTTGAGCCGGGCGGTGGTGGTGCACACCTTTAATCCCAGCACTTGGGAAGCAGAGCCAGGCGGATCTCTGTGAGTTCGAGGCCAGCATGGTCTACAGATCGTGTTCCAGGACAGCCAAGCTGTTACATAGAGAAACCCGGCCTGGGAAACCAAAAAATAAGATAAAATAAAGTATTTATTTGAAGGAAATGGTTTGATTTGGGTTTTGGTTTTTCAAGACAGTTTTCTATGTAGCCCTGGCTATCCTGGAACTCTCTTTGTAGACCAGGCTGACCTCAAACTCACAAAGATCCACCCACCTCTGCCTCCAGTGTGCAACATCGTGCCTGGTGAAGGAAATGTATGTTAATAAACTTCTTTCACTGAGAACTCTACAGTACGGAGTGCTCACCCTGTGCTTGGCTCCAGAGCTGAAGCCTCCCAGAATGCTGCTGTGGATGAGTGCCTGAAAACACGTGTTACTCTTGGTGCTTGATTCAGAGAACATCCTATTTTATTTCTTTGGTTTTTCAAGACAGGGTCTCTCTGTATAGCCCTGGCTGTCCTGGAACTCTCTCTGTAGACCAGGCTGGCCTCAAACTCAGAGATCTGCCTTTGCCTCTGCCTCCTGTGTGCTGAGATTAAAAGTGTGTGCCACTACACCTGGTGACAGAGAACACCCTAATGGGCTTCCACTTTACAGCTGATCCATTCATCAGTTCATATTGGCTTTTCTCACTCAAGAGCCTGACCTCTCTATTGTAAGTCACACTGAGTTATAATGTCTTAGGTGACTAACAAATAAAATGAAGTGACTATAGAAGTCTTTATGAATTAAATTCCTGTACTTGAGGGACTTTGTTACACACATGCAAATGAAAACTCTGAGCTTCTTTGAATATCCTGAGTCATAAAGGAAAACCACCCCCAACCTCAAGAGAGTTACTAGTAGTTTGTCTCTGACTGGCTGTTAAGAGGCTGCTGTGACTCAGCTTCTAGTGATTAGCATGAGATGCACAAAATGTGGGGCAGAGTTCAAGGTGCTCACTCATGTAGCCTAGGCTGGCCTGGAACTCTTGATCCTCTTGCCTCGGAGTTCTGGGATGATAGGTCTATACCACCACCCCTGGCTCAAGATACGTTTTGTGCCTCAAGTCATGGTTTGTGGAGGAAGTGGACATAAATGAGTTAGTGTATTACAGTTTGATAAACTAATTAACACTGTACGTTCCGTGCCATGTAGGAAGCGATTAGAGGAATGTGTGGCCTGTAGGTGATTTTTAATGAGATGCTCTGAGATAACTGAGGATTTATGATCGGTGTAGCCAAATTAGACACCTGTCAACTTGACACTCTTTCCTAATCACAGCTACAGATCTCAGAGCTGATTGATCATGGTTTGGAAAGAACCCCACGGCCTGTGGAGACTTGTCCAGTTGTGGCTGATGACATTCCACACCTGGGAAGTCTGCTCTGTAGCTCTGTTGCCTTATCATTACTTACAATGTTTTGGGACAAGATCTTCAATTCAATTTTTCTAAAGCTTTTTTTTTTTTTTTTTTTTTTTTTTTTTTAAATAGAGACTGTAAGAAGCTGTAAAAATAACTCAGGTTCCTTCTAGCCTTTGCCTGACTTCTTCTAGTGGAAACATCTAAAAGTAGTGGAAACATCTAAAAGTATGTTAAAGTATTATAGCTAAGAGGTTGGCATTAGTAGGGCCCTTTAGTCTGATTCTGATGCCTGTGTGTGTGTGTGTGTGTGTGTGTGTGTGTGTTCATGTGGGTGTATATCGTGTATATATGTCCACATGTTTGTGGAGTCCAGAAATGGTATCCACATAAGAAAAGTATTACTGTAAAAAAAATCCAGAGAAACCCTGAATTGACACCGCCACCCCCAAACCACAACAAAAATGCAAAAAAAGAACAAAATAAAAAACCAGATCTAACATCTCTACAGTTTTGTTTGTTTGTTTTGTTTTTCTTTCGAGACAGAGTTTCTCCGTGTAGCTTTGTGCCTTTCCTGGAACTCACTCTGTAGCCCAGGCTGGCCTCGAACTCAGAGATCTGCCTGGCTCTGCCTCCACTCAGGACTAAAGGCGTGTGCCACCACTGCCTGGCCGGCGTCTCTACGATTTAATGAACTTCTGTACAGTTAGAGTTAGCATTTGGAGTAGAAGTTGTTCACATTAAGTTTTCCACTTTCAGTATTGAATATATTTTATACTTTTTTTTTTTTTAAAGACATCCATCTCACGGTCTTGGAACTCACAAGTTCTTTTCCTCCTTCTCCTTCTTTTCCTTCTTCTCCTTCTCCTTGTAGACCAGGCTGGCCTTGAATTCACAGAGATCTGCCTGCTTCTTCCTCTGCCTGCTTCTTCCTCCAAGTCCTATGATTAAAGGCCTGTATCACCATGACCAGCTTAAGTGAGTTTTTTGGTTTTTTGTTTTGTTTTTCTTTTTTTCCTGAGACAGGGTTTCTTTGTGAAATAGTCCTGACCCTTTGTAGACCAGGTTGGCCTCGAACTCAACAGAGATCCACCTGCCTCTGTCTCCTAAATGCTGAAATTAAAGGCTTGTGCCACCACTGCTCTGCTTGAATATATTTTATATTCTTTTTTTTAAAAGATTTATTTATTATATATACATATTCTGCCTGCATGTATACCTGCGGGCCAAAAGAGGGTGCCAGATCTCATTACAGATGGTTGTGAGCCACCATGTGGTTGCTAGGAATTGAACTCAGGACCTCTGGAAGAGCATGAGCCATCTCTCCAGCCCCATATTATATACTCTTATCCACCACTGAAATGCAGGATCTGTACAGAATTAGAACTAGAAAAACAATTAGCTTTATATCCTCTTATCTAATTTATGTGCCCTACCTTTTTAAAATTTTATTTTTGGGGTTGGGGATTTAACTCAGTGGTAGAGCGCTTGCAAGGCCCTGAGTTCGGTCCTCAACTCTGAAAAAAAAAATTTATTTTCATTGTTTTTAGTTATGTGTGTGCGTGCATTTGTATGTGGGTATTTCATATGAGAACAGGTACGCAGGGAGATTGTGAGCTGCCTGGCCTGGGTGCTAGGGACTGAACTCTGGTCCTCTACAAGAGCAGTAGAGTTAATTGTGTTCAGGAGTGTCTCCCTTGGGTATATGTATCTGTATCGCCTGCATGCCTGGCACCCACGGAATTCTGAATAGGGTGTCAGAATCCCTAGAACTGGAGTTACAGATGACTCTGAGTGCCATGTGGGTGCTGGGACTCAAACCTTGGTCCTCTGCAAGAACAAGTACTCTTAGCCACTGAGCTGTCTCCCCGGCCTCCCTCTCTCTTGTAAGTCTTTTGTATTAGTTCTTTGAGAGTTTTGTGCATGTTTTGATCATATTCACTCCTCCAACTCTTACCAGGTCCACCCCTGCCTACCCACCCAACTTTGTTTGTTTCTTTCTTTCTTTCTTTTTTTTTAAACCCATCAAGACCAGTTTGCTCTGCCCAATAATTTTGGGCGTGTGGCCTTTCATAGGGCGTGGTTGGCTTCTCAGGGGCTATGCTCTTACACATCTCTCTCTTCCCAGCAGCTATCAGTTGCCAATAGCCTCGTGGCTAGAGGTGGGATTTGATGCCTAATTCTCATCTCCGTGCTGGGATTTGGTGGCTGGGACTGGCACAAGTCTTGCTGTCAAACTACTGTGAGTTCATAGTGCAGCTGCCCTGCTGTCTAGAAGATACTACATTCTTGTAGTCATCCTTCATTGCTGGCTCCTCTGCTCTGTACATCCCTTCTTTTGTAATGGCCCATGAACCTTGGGAGGATGCGGTGTGGTACAATGTCCGTTCCTCTTAGGGCTGAGCATTCTGTAATCCTTTATACTCTGTACCCTGGCATGTAACAGAGAAGGTTGAGGGCAGCACAGATCTGTGGCTGCAAACATAAATACATACATTAACCCCCCTCCGACTGCATTCCCTCCCTCTCCCTCTCCCAAGGGGAGGTAAGAATAACCATCAGCGGAAGAGGAGGAGGCTCAGCAGAGAGCAGCACTTAGAGCCGGCTGCATGTTCAGGAGGGAACGCTGTCTGGTCCTCATGGACTCCGGTGCTCCGCACAGAGAAAGTGCTCTAGAGACGAACTGTAGAAATGATCTCTCAAATGTACAAACTTAAATAAATATTCAGGAGGCGGTTTGACACCAGGACCATTAACAAGACAGTAGTGCCGAGCCATGGGCTTTTGACTAGCCTTCGAGTCCCATATTCCACATCATAATTCAAAACAACACTAGGGCTGGTGAGGTGCCCAGCAGGTAAGGTGCTGGCCACCAAGCCTGACCACCTGAGTTTGCTCTCCAGGACCCAAGTGCTGGAAGGAGAGAACGGACTACTTCATATCGTTTTCTGACCTCCACATAGGCACCTTGGCTCATACCTTCACTACTCTAAAATAAAGACATATGCAACCGTTACATAATAAAGATGTCCAATAATTCTTTACCTTAGACTTCGACTCACAAAGCAAGTTTAAGTATTTTACCTCATTTGGTATCTCCACAGTATTTCAGACTACTGTGGCTAACAGTGGCCCAAAGCCAACTCTTTTTATACAGTTTTTTCATTTATTCACTTAATTGTGTGTATGTACATGTACATGTGCAGATACATACCTGTGGAGGTCAGAAGACAACTTCTTGGAATGGTTTCTCTCCTCCTAAGTGGATCTTGGGGATTGAACTAAGGTCACCAAGTGCCCTTATCCACTGAGCCGTCTCATTGGTCTCCCAAAGTCTGTTTTTTCTCTGGCTGGTGCTAAGATTGGTCTTTACATCGTCAGAGGAAGAATATAATTGAAAACAACTCAAGCAACAAAGCAAAAACCCAAGAAAGTACCCATGACAGATGGACTCACAAAGCTGGAAGTATTTGTTAACTGGTCCTTTTCAGAAAGACTGGGGCCGTTGACTAGATTGTTGCTTCTCTGAAGTGGTGGTTGAGTTCCAGAAAAGTTATTTGTGAATAAAGTTTTCAACTTCTCACACACATACTAAGATACTCCTTGTGATACAAAAGAGTTTTTTTTTTTTTTTTTTTGGTTTTTCGAGACAGGGTTTCTCTGTGTAGCTTTGCGCCTTTCCTGGGACTCACTTGGTAGTCCAGGCTGGCCTCGAACTCACAGAGATCCACCTGGCTCTGCCTCCCGAGTGCTGGGATTAAAGGTGTGCGCCACCACCGCCCGGCAACAAAAGAGTTTTTATAACTGAGTAAATTTGTGGAGTGAATTGTATCCTATGTTTATATTCCCCATCCACATGTGCAAACTGAGGTTATACAAATCCAAGCTTATACACGTGAGGTAGTTCTGGAAGGACAGACGCGCGTACTGGTGAAGATGACTTCTTTCTTGGTGCTGGGGCTTGAACAGTGTCCTCTGCCTGCTTGGCAGGTGCGGTGCCCGAGTCACACCCCCGCCCAGTGGCGCCTCTGCAGAGGGTTCTCTGGAACTCACTGGGAAAGGCACCGCTTGCTGTGTTCTCCTCGGTCTGCTGTGCACTTTTCCTGACCAGGAGCAGGAGCACAAGGAAGATGTCCCAATTCCACCTGGAGTGGGTCTGACATGTGGGGAGTGTCAGCTAATGAGTTAGACTTCAGTGTTTAAATCCACCACTGTGTGTCCTTCCTCCCTTTACGATAAAGGACATGGCCTTTCCTGCCACGTTGCCCGTGAATCACGAAGGCAAAACTACCCACATTGTACATGTGCTGTTGAACTTAGCATGTTCAAGCGGGTACTTGGGGCTGAAGCCTTGTCCCTGAGAGTGGCCTGCTATTTCCTGCTCTCCCAGACCTTTGGGCATAGTCTTGTGTCTCTCGGGAGTAAAAGGTGTCCCGGTGCATGGTGCTGCTGGCCAAGGTCTGAGCCACCAGCGCTCCTTGGTCCAGAAATGGCCAAAGCGGTCCATCCCATCTGGACTAAGGGGCTCTGCTTATAGGATGCACTCACTTGTTGTCGCCATCTACTGGCCCACCGTGTACTTGCATCGTAGAGCACTCACCTGTTCTGTGACTGCAGAGGTTGCTCTCCAGGTGTCCCCAGGGCTGCCTCTTGCCTGTTGCTGTCTGGGTGGGAGCCCTGAACTTGGTCAGTTGAGTCAGCAATAAAAACCCACTTTGCGCCGGGCGGTGGTGGCGCACGCCTTTAATCCCAGCACTCGGGAGGCAGAGGCAGGCGGATCTCTGTGAGTTCGAGGCCAGCCTGGGCTACCAAGTGAGTTCCAGGAAAGGCGCAAAGCTACACAGAGAAACCCTGTCTCGAAAAACCAAAAAAAAAAAAAAAAAAAAAACCCACTTTGCAACCCAAGACTGGCTGTGTCTACTGAGTGAGTGCCTATACTGAGGTGTGTGCGTGTCGTGTCGGGGCAGGGGCGGTGAGCAGGAGGAAGGCCAGGCCAGCATGTGGGCGGGGCAGAGCCTGTGTGGTGTGCAGTAGGACTGTCCATAGACTTGGAGGTGGAGGAGGAGTCTGTATTTAAGAGAACTGGTAGAGCCAAGCAAGGCAGATACAGTCTAGGAACACTAGGGAGACTAGAGAGTTTTTCTCTGGGCTTCCCCCCCCCTTTCCTAATTTCCTATTATTATTATTGTTGTTGTTGTTGAAAAGATTTATCTTATTGTGTGTGTATGAGTGTTTTGCCTGAGTGCATGTAAATGCACCACATGTGTGCAGTGCCCTCGGAGGCCAGAAGGGGGCATCAGATCCTTTGGGATTGAAGCTACACAGTTATAAGTCACCTTGTGGGTGCTGGGAACTGAACATGGGTCCTCTGTGAGATCAGGAAGCTCTCCTAAGAGCTGAGCCTTCCTGCCTTCCTATTCTTGCCAAGATGCATGCTCATTTACATCGAAAGATGCTTTAGAGTATGTGTATGGAGTAGAGATGATTCAGCCATTAAGAGCTCCTGCAGCCAGGCAGTGGTGGTGCACACCTTTAATCCCAGCACTCGGGAGGCAGAGGCAGGCGGATCTCTGTGAGTTCGAGGCTTGCCTGGGCTACAGAGGGAGATCCAGGACAGGCACCAAAACAACACAGAGAAACCCTGTCTTGAGAAAACCAAAGCCAACCAACCAAACAAACAAAAAAACACCTCAAAAAGAGCTCCTGCAGCTCAAGTGTGAGGACTGGAGTTGCATCCCAGGACCCAGGAAAAGCCAGACATAGTTCCATATGGGTCTGTAAGCCCAGCACTGAGGAGGCAGACACAGGAGGATTACTGGGGCTTGCTGATTGCCAGTCTTTTGAAAAACAAGAGCTCAGGGTTCAGAGAGAGACCCTGCCTCAGAGGAACAGGGTGACTAGATACCTTCCTCAGGTGTCTGTGCACATACATCACACACAAAATATTCTCAATGCAAACATTTAACATTTCTAAATGCAAAAAAAAAAAAAAAAAAGCACTTAAGTAATGAGCGGCAGCAAGGGAAAACTGGCGACAGTTAGATCAGGAGAGCGTAGGGTCCACGCATGAAGTGAGGGGGGAGGGGCGCGTGCACCAGGACTGGCCCTCTGCAGATCAGCCTGCCTGCCAGTGACAGACCAAGTCTCCTCCGAGGACATCAGTCCAGTAACTGAATATGGAAGGGAGGTGGCCATCTCACACCATCCAACTCTTTCTGACCTGGCCTAGCTGCCAAGGCACAGGAAAAAGAAAACAAAACGAAACAAACCAAACCAGGAGTGAGAAGGAGAGAGAGAGATGTTTATTGGTTGAGATATTTTTGTTTATTTTGTTTGTGTTTTAGACAGGGTCTCACTACGTAGTTCCGGCTGGCCTCCAACTTACTGTGTAGACTAATTTGGTCTTGAACTCAGAGATCCACCTGCCTCTGCCCTCTGAGTGCTGGGATTAAAGACAACCACCAACTAGGCAAGATGTTTATAGTTTTAAGCCACTAAATTTTGGGGTTGTTTACTATAAAGAAGAAGAAAAAGGTTAAGCTGTGCACTAGCAGCTACACTCCGGGATGCAGTGGAAGGCTGGAGTTTACAGGAGTGAGTAGAAAAAATAAAAATAAAATCCTTAAATGGTGAACGAGGATGGATTTCTGTGAAGAAGGTTGTTAAAGAGCAGTAATACAAAATAGATAACATCTACTATGCCCTTTGGTTCAGCTATGGAGCTAAACAAATTTTGGTGACTAAGGAACTTTTAATATATCTACAACATAGCATTCATTATTCACCATTAAAAAAGGTAAAATCCTAAACCAGGCCTGGTCCACATCTGTAATCTCTGCGCTTGGCAGGTGGGGCTGGGAGGGCAGGAGTTTGAGGCTATCCTGGGCTATATGACCCTGCCAAAAGCCAACCAACCAACCAACCAAACAGACAAACCAACCAACAAACAAAAAACCAGCCTGGTGGTGGCGGCGGCGGCGGCGGCGGCGGCGGCGGCGGCGGCGGCGGCGGGGCGCGCCTTTAATCCCAGCACTTGAGAGGCAGAGGCAGATGAATCTCTGTGAGTTTGAGGCCAGCCTGATCTACAGAGTGAGTTCCAGGACAGCCAGGGTTACGCAGAGAAACTGTGTCTCAAAAAAAACAAAGAAAACAAAAAACCAAACCAATTAAACAAAAAACTCCTGACCAAACAAACCAACCTCCTGCCATTTGCTGCAACACCGATGAAACTGGAAGATGTTAAGTGAAAGACATTGTCTTAGTTAGGGTTTCCATGGCTGTGAAGAGACGCCATGACCACAGCAACTTTCATAAAGGAAAACATTTAACTGGGGATGGCTTACAGTTCAGCAGTTTAGTCCATTATCCTCATGGTGGGAAGCATGGCAGCGTGCAGGCAGACATGGTGCTGCTGGAGAAGGAGCTGAGAGTTCTACATCTTGATCCTCAGGCAACAGGAAGCAACTGTGTCTCTGGGTGTAGCTTGAGCACAGGAGACCTCAAAGCCTACCCCCACAGGGACACACTTCCAACAAAGCCACACCTCCTAATAGTGCCACTCCCTATGGAGGTCATTTTCTTTCAAACTACCATAGATGCTAAGCACAGAAAGACAGACATGATATATTTTACTCATGTGGAAGCTACAATGAAAGCCACCCACCCCACCCCGGCCTTCTTTCTATATAAACCCTGACTCCAATATAATTGGAAAA